GGAGAGTGGCGCAGCTCGCGTGGCCCACGGGGCTCGGTGGTTTCAGAGCCTGCGCGCTTCTCTAGCGTGTTTTTCTGGGGAGCAAATGAAAAAGGTGAGGTGCCTGAAGCAGCCTGTGTGAATATACGCACCGGCGAGCCCTCGGGCCGTTCGTTCAGTCACGCTGTACAGCTGCCTCTGCAAGCAGGGAGCCACATTGGGGCGGCGTTTTGTTATTTATCTGTGTCTTATGTTTGCTTCATCTCCTGTTGAATATATCACCTGCTAATTTACTCTTGTTATTCTTGCAGATCACCAATAACTGTGTTTAAAAGGCTTGAACACTAGTACCAATCCCTCTGGCATGTCATAGCTGTATTCTCAACTCCATCCTGTTACTTACTTCTCAAGTGTAGCTTCTCAAGTGCTCTAGCTGCTTTCTGAGAAGGGTGACAGTACACGTTTCCGAGAGATATCTATGAGATTCACTGCCTCATAGTTGCAAAGTTAGGCTTCAGTCAAATCTGATGAACCACTATGTTCTTCCAAACTCGTGGCTGTGAGACCATAGGGAAGAGAGGGGAGTGAGGTGAGATGCTGGCTTGGGTCCCGGTGTGCGACACCTGAATGCACCCAGCTATTGCACTCGCTGGTGCTTCTGGGGCTGAGAGCACGGGGCACCCAGAGCAGCACTGCTCGGGGCTGGCACGGCTTATTTCCTTGCTGCAGTGTCCCTTCTCCAGGGAGCCCGCCCCAGTGGTGCGGGGCTGCATTGCACTGCACTTGTGCCTACATAAAGCTAGGTTATCTTCAGAGATCCTTGGCTCTTGCGAAAGCAAGTCAGTTACAAATTAGATGTAAGGGTGACTTGCAGCCTGCTAGAGAGCAGAGGGTCATATTGCACTGTGGTGGTTTCTCTGGCTTCCTTGCATGCTAGAGCTGGCATGTTGACCAATGCAGAAAACCACTCTCCTGGAGAAATCCTTTGCCTGCTAATTTTTGTGATTCAACGAAGTATTCAACTTGATTTTATCTTTTCTTTTCTTGTTAAATCTTTGCATGTTTTGCCTTAAGGCGCCTGTTACCCTAAAGGCACTTGCTTTTCTTCTTTCTTTTTTTTTTTTTTTTGAATGATGATTTGTTATTTTAATAATATTCAAAGGTAAAATTTACATGTGGTAGTTTCATTTAATTCTTCCTTTCTCAAATTAGCATTATTTTTCCCTTCTCCATGCCCCAGTCTTCTGGTGTCTACCTGATTGTGTATGAATTTTCAGAAATAATTGCCAGTAGTTCAGCAAGTTCATTAACTGATTCCCTTAAGACCCTCAGATACATGTCATCCAGATCTGAAGATTTGTATATTACATTTTTGCAAGTATTCCCTTACCTGATTTGTTTTGTATCAACAGCTGTATTGGCAAATCTTTGTTATTTCTGATTGTCGATATCTCTTTGTTTTGGTGGATAAATTGATTATAAAACCTGCTCATCATTTGGAGGTCATTATTCATTTTACTTCATTTATTAATGGAACCACTTTCTCTTTGGAGTTCTCTTCCTGTGATGCTCTGGACTTGTTAAAATATAAATTCAGTTCTCCCCAGCCCTTTCTTCACTAGCAATTGGGAGGGGCATTCTGCTTTTTTATCATGTTTCTCACTAAAATCCCTAAGTAACTCTCCATTTTTACTTTATACCTTGTTCCCACAAAGATGCTCCTGCAGCAGAGAGTCTTTTTTCTCTGTAAGACCTTGAGTAGCCATATTGGCGGCCTTGCTATTTATTGTGGACCTTGATGTGGTTTGAGGTTTTTTTGTTTGTTTTATTAATTTTGCAACTGTAGTCCTAGCATATTTTAGGATGTTCTAGCTATCCCCCACACTTAACATGCTGTTTTCATGTCTTTTTATTACTCTACACTCCTAGGATTTCTCAGACACCTGAAGAATTAATGTCTTTGCTGTTTACTTTGTGCTACAACCCATTGCTTAATACAGTGTGTTGAATTCTGTAGTTTATAATCACTGCCATAGAAATTAGTGGGTACAAAGGGTGTAAATATCTTGGAGTATTCTGGCTGTCGTAAAAAGGTGTCTTATTATCTGATTTTTGCAAACAGTTCTTTCTATTAAAAAAAAAAAGATTTCTCATGCATTTGATTTAGCTTTGTCTACTATTAAACAGTATTGAGCTTGTGGACTTCAACAACATTTTTCTTCTTGTGAAAAACCTTACGGCAAAATCTATTATCACCGTTAGGATGTAACTCCTCTTGCTTCTGTCCAATCTTATGGACCTCTGGTATATAAATGACAAATGTACGACCTGCACAGTGTTTAATTTTTTTTAGGTGTCTCCCTTTAGTAATGGTTGGATGTGAATATGTAAGACAAAATTTGACCTTTAAATGAATGTGAAGGGCCAAGGTAGATACTTGGCAGGCTTTTCTTATTGCAATATTAATCAAGGAAAGAATCATCATAATCCTAGAAACTAAATAGCCATTGTAGTGACTTTACCACTAGGGAAATTGTTCATCTGTCAATAAAATTGTTACTAGGAAAGGGAAAAATAGAGAATGTTAAAATTGCTTCAGACCGCTGAATCATTGGGTCCCTTTAGACTCAGAGCTTGAATTGTGCCTTGCGAGGGGTGGGTTGAGCAGGGCTGCTTCAGGAGAGCGGCAGGTTAATCGCTTTCAGTAACACCAGTGCACGTGAGCTCCATCCCTCCCGGGGAAACGGGAAGAGGGCATGAGAGAAGGCAAGATAGAGGCAGGGGGAGGCTTCTTAAAATTATTGTTTCATCACTTTTTATTTCTGGGTGGCCTTTTAGCAAAGGAGGAATGTTGATTAAAAAAAAAAAAAAAAGAAGAAGAAGAAGAAAAAAAGGCAGCCTAATGTTCACTTCTTGTATTTTCAACTAGTTTAAGCTGGCAGATGATAATGAGCATGATTATGGCATAGGCATAAAGAGATGGATCAAGGCAGGAGTGACAGAGATGGATTCATATATCTGTACAAGACCCGGAAAGCCATACATGAAGCCCCCTTGGCCTCAATGTGATGCTCATGTAGGCTGCAACATGGAGGCATAAGGTGACCTACCTGTGTGGGGGTGATGCTTGGTGTGCATTATGATAGCGTATTTCTCTGTAAAACATGCTTCTGCAGGTGACACCTTGTCTTATTGGGGTGTATGGTGGCATGTGGACAGCCACATCATAGCCTATGATACAGGTCACGACACAAACAAAGTTGTTTTGGGCAGGAACGGTCTATGGCACGTGCCAATGGGAGAACTTTATCCCTCCGCTCTCGTTGGACACCTTGGTCTATGGGATGACCCTCAAGTAGGGAACAAGCCTTGTCAGTGCTGTTATGGGTTGGATCTCAGCCGGGAAAGGGGCAGACTGTCTGCGTCGGAAGAGCCATCTGTAAGATGCGATAGCTTGGCATCCAGTAAAGAGGATTTGCAAAACCATGGATGAATCTGGAGGTGGAAAGCATTTGTATGAAAGGTGCCCTCAGGAAATCTGTGTAAGACGTCAAGAATTGTCTTTGTACAGGGCATGGGAGGGGCGAGGGAGTCCATGTGTGTGTATGTGTGGCGTGAATTGTCTTTGTGTGGAAAAGTCCCTTTGTGTGGGAAGCGGTGGCTTTGCGTAGAGGCTGCTTTGGAGGCGCCTGTGTAATGGCCGCCGTGTGGCGAGCTGGGGGAGGCCAACATGGCGCTGGCGCCAGCACGGATGCATTTCTGCAAGGGAAGGCAGCTCTTTCCGAAAAGGTCGTGTCTTCTGGGCCAGGAGCGGTGTAGTCGGCGCCAAAGGCCTCCGTCGGGGACGCCGGTGGCGGCGGCGGCCTGCGGCTGTTTGGCAGGTGCCCGTTGGAGCGGCCGTGCCGTGTGCCTGTGGGTCCCGCGGGCCGCTCCGTCAGGCCCAGGCACTACGGCCCTGGGCACCGCGCGCCCTGCCCTGTCCTTCATTGTTGTCACTGCCCGATTGTGATACTGTCACAAAAACTGTTGCTAGGCAACAAATGTGGTTACCAGGTCTCAGCGAATAGCTGAAGGGGGAAAGCGAAGTGTTGCACCATTGTAGAGTAACCATAGCAATGACCTACTATTACTGACTAAAGAATTATCATTAACAATGTTAAAGTATCAAACGGAGGCCCGCGATCCAGAGACTTCCAGGCAGCATCTCCGCGTAATTGGGTTATCCAGGAAGAGATCCCAACTCTTCCCGAGCACCAGGCTCATTATGGCTGTGGGAGGGAAGACAGACGTGAATATTTTTTAAAATTCTTTTATTTTTATTTTCCTAATAATGCGAACATTTAAGGAGAACTCTGATCAGACAGTAGGTAAGCACTGGCTGTGAGAGTCCAGAACCGGTGAACATGTTGGCAGAGGGAAAAGGCAACGGAAGTGGTTCCCTTTCCAGCCTCTGTGTTTTGCATGGGTTTACTGGAAGAAGCACCACCCAAGTGATGCATTTACAAGTAAAGTCTTCTGGTTTTCTGATAGAGTTATAAAGCCTCAAAGCCTATAAAGCCTATAATGCTGAAATCAGTGTTTAAAAAAATAAATAAATAAAAAATGAAATAAAAGGGAAAAGAAATATATAGAGAGGGAAAGAGAGCATCCAAGCCCTGCAAAGCAGATGCTCTTCTCTGAGCAGGGCCAGGCAGGTGAAGTGCTTTAACGGAGCCACACTTAGCAGGGAACTGGAGGCTTCGGCTTTTCCAGGCTCCGGAGCCTTTCCAACCTGGCGCATCCCTGAGGGAGCCACAGGGAAAGGAGGCCGCCCGGGCGCGTGCGTGCCAGTGTGCACGCGTGCGTGTGTGCACACAACCGCGCGGGCACCGCTCGCGGCACCCCCTGCAGCGGGGCGGCCCCAGCGCAGCCCCCGCCGCGGGGACAGGGCACAGGGACAGCCGCGGCGCGGGGGCTCCCTGGCCCTTCGAGCGCATCTGGGGCACCCGGGGACTCAAACTCTGCCCTTTCCTCTCTTGCAGGTACCGAGCGTCACGAACTGACTTCCTGGAAGAGCTTCCCATCTATTTTCAAATTCTTCAGCGAAGCAATAGAGGCGAAGAACAGCTCAGTGAAGCCAGCCCCGACGCGGCGCTCCAACAGGATCAAATACGACGAATTTTGAGAGCAGAGAAAAAAAAACAAACCTCTTGGCTGCTTGTTTTCCGCGAGCAGTCTCCCAGCCCCTCATTAGATTGTTTTCTTCCTAGAGCACAGGGTCGTGATGTATACATCTAAATAGCGTTTTGCATTATTTCTAGATGAGTGCAACTGTCAAAGCAATATGGGTTCACTGGTTGTGCTTCCTGTGGGCTGTAACTTGGATTTCGTGCTGCCCATCAGCGCGCAGATTAAGGCTGACAGTGGTACTGCACAGTGCAGCATGGTGCAGCTCTAATTGCCCTGACATAGCCCTGCACCAAGCTGATGCCAGGATTTAACAGCTTCTTCGTGGTCCTATTGCCTGCAGGATTTTTTTGTTGCTTCCTTCCAGGGTTCACTTTTTTTTTTTTCCCCTTTCCTTCTTTTGCAGGAGTGAAGTTTGGGTTTTATGCATTTTTTAAGACTTGCTTTTAAATAATTGATACAGGTAGATTTGTCTCCCCAGTCTTTCCCTCTATCTGCATCTGCTTTTAAACTGCTTACATGCATTTTTTAATAATACAGTACATTTGTGGGTTTGTAGGGATTCCATTTTCAAGCCATAATGACTAAATTAAAATTTAAAAAGCAAACCCATAAACAGCACAAACATGATTAAATAGTACTTGGACTTATAAATACTAGTTATTCTCTGTAATTCTAACAAAATCTTTTTGGTTTGGCTTTATTTTCTTATGAGACCAGGGGACAGACTGTGCATAAAGTAGCTCCTATGAAATAATAAATCAAAACTAGATATTTCTGTGGAGAAGTATCTCTGAATTTAAACTCAGCTTTCCAGTAAATCTGTACATTGCAAAAAGAAATAACTATTTTTAAAACGAAACCTAGTGATGCTAGAATCTCACTGCTTTGTGATCTTAGAACTGCCATTTTCACAGAGTTTGCAACTCTAATTTTACAACTGCAAACTGTTCTCATGCACGTACCAGTGGAAAGTGTAACATAGATTAAGTGTCTGTATTTAAAATTTACTTTTAGCACTTGGTTGGATACCTTTATTTTTTATTCCGATAGAAAGTCTATTTTGAGACAGAACAAAATATGAATTACTCTTTTTAAAGCCAGCTCTATCTTGGAGTGCTAACAAGCGCAGGATTTTACACTCAATAGCCTTCTCTTTCTCGGGGACCAAGTGAGATCAGCTCTTCACTCTTTCATTTTCCGCTGATAGGAGAGTCCAAGAAGTTTGGTCCAGATTTAGGGGAAAGTCCCTTTGTTGCAGAGATTTTCTCCTCCTGCTGGATCAATGGCATTATTTGTAGATCTCCTCTTCCTTTTGAAAGTCCTACTTAAAAAAAAAAATGCCTATTCATTAACCGCCTGGACCACACTGTGAAATATGACCGAAAAAAAAAAAAGGAGAAAAAAAAAAAGAAAAAAACTTTGAAATGCATCCTGAACCTTGACTTCCTCTATACATTAGTGCACCTATACATGTCATTTCTGGCTGGGATTTCATGTTTGCATAACTGGTATAGCCAATGTCTGTAAAAAAAATAAAAAAAAAAAAGAAAAAAAAAAGGAGGGGGGAGAAATGGGGTGGGGGGTCGCGTTTCGCTATTTTTTGTCCTTCGGGGGCCGGGTTTGTGTCGCGTGTGATGCTGCTAGAGTCCCGACGGAGAGGACGAAGCTGGGGAGGGAGTTTGGGCGGCCCCCGCAGCCGCCACGAGGTTGCTGGAGCCCCCGCTCCTTGGTGCAGTGTTTCCTAGTTCGGAGCTGGGGCGGTGGGAAGGTCTGGGAGGCAGCGAGTGCCTGCTGTGGCTCTCGTGGGTTTTGCCCCCCTAAGGGGATGGTACCGAGCGGCTCTGCCTGGCGTTGAGTCCCGGCAAATCCCGGGATTGGCGCCGTTCCCCCTTTGTGCCCCGCGGCGCCGGGGCCGCGGAGCGCCCAAATCGCTGTCCCGCGCTCGCCGCGGCGGCGTTTCCGTCGCCTCCCTCTCCGCAGCCGCCCTGCTGCCCTTAACCTCTCCCTTCGGGAAGCGAGGCCTCCCCGGGGAGGTCGCCGTGAGCCCCGGCTCCCGGGCACGGCTGGGAAAGGGGGAGAGGGTCACTGTTTCCCTAGGCCAGAGCAGTGCCAAATTCCAGGCGGAGCCGTTGTCCCGGAGGATGGGGGGGAGAGGGCCCGCTGGGCCACCCCGCGAGCTTGCGGCCGCTCCGGCGCCGTTCCCCGCGTGTCCGGGGATTTACAGTGCGCATTTGGGGTGTCCGTGCTGCTCTCCAGAGCCGGGCAGGGAGCAGGTCTGGCCCCAAAACGCGCTGCCCGGCGCGTCAGGGGACCCCCCGGGTGCCAACATGTCCCGGAGATGGATCTATTTTTTTAAGCGTCGATGCCAAACGAAGTGTATACAAAATTTATACTGTGACAACTGCCCTTTTTGACGTTTCTTTATCTTGTCATCGCCTGGATTGTGTTACTATTGCTTGTGTAAAGAGCGGTAAAGCACAGGGAGTTCTTACGACTTGTACATTTCTGTTTACACTGAGCAAAAAAAAATAATAATTATAATTAAAATAAAGATGCTCTTTTCTCTTCCGCTGCGCGCTCATTCCCAGCTCCGCGGGCGGGAGCGGCGGCTCCGCGGGGCTCTGCGCGGCCGGCCCAGCTTGGCCGAGCGGGGCGGCCTGCGAGGGGCAGGGGGGTCGCGAGCGGGAGGGCTCGCAGGTCCCAGGCCGGGAGCTCCCAGGCCGGGAGGGAGGTTTGGGCATCGGCTCCTCTGGGTCGCGGCGCCGGGAGCGGAGCGGGCGGCCAGCGGCCCCGGGTGGCTCCAGTTTCCGCCTCCCCTTCCCTGTCTTTCCCCTTTCCCTTCCCTCTGCGGGCAGCGGCGGCAGGTCGAGCTGTCGAGTTGCAGCACCTCTCTTTTTTTTTTTTTTTTTTTCCCCTTTCTAATCCTCCATTAGTCCAAACAAAATCAGTCGCCTGGAGTCTGGGAAAAAAAGAGGGGGAGGTTGGGTGGATTGATCGATGCTCGCTAAAGCCCCGGCCCCTTCCTCGGGGAGGAAGGGTCCTCGCTGGTGGTGGGGACAGAGCTGCCCCCTCGGGCGCCGTGTGTGCTGGGGATGTCGGCAGCTGAAAGGGGGAAACAGCCCCGAGTTCCCAGAAGAAAGACTCCCAAAGAAGCCAGGGAAAATGGAGGGGGGAGAAGGGGGGGGATATGAAAACATGCTCGCATTTATCTCCTCATCTGGGTAGCGCAATAAAGCAACAGTGATAGTCTCAGCGCACACCCAGGACGGATGAATGTTGGTTTAATTGATTCATTCGGATCGATGTTTTTAAAGTTTCACACCACTGGTCTTTCATGTAGTGATGTCTTTAGCAGCCAGCGGTCTGACATGAGCCTGCTCGGGTTTCCTCAGGGGCAAACTCGGTGACATCGGATGTTATGCAACGGGCTGTGACGCTGAGGGTGTCTTTGGGAGCCCAAAAGTCCCCGAAGGTGGTGACAAGCAACCAGCTTACTGTGAGCGAAAGCCAAAAATGCTGTGGCTGGAGAGACGGGTCAACGCGCGTAAAGCGGGATGGAGGGAAAATAAAAGAAAAAAGGAGGGGGGAGGCTGGGGAGCTCAGAGAAGAAAACAGCCAGGCAACCTCCTTGTGCGGATCCTCAAGCACAGCAAGCTGTGGAAAAATTAGAAAGCAAAAATAAAAGCCCAAGAAATCCCTCCTGTGCCTCGCGCATACAGCGCAGCGCGCTGCTTGCAGCTACCGCAGAGCGGTTCTCAGGGAAAGGATCCTGCTTTTCCTGGGAACGCGCATCCCCCGCCCTGCTCCCGAGGAACATCACTAATTGTTTTTCCCCTCCAGGAACTTCATCCCGAAGTACAAATGAGACGTGTGGCGACTAAAACCGCGCGTAACTCTCGCTCGTGCGGGCAGTGCCGAGCGAGATGCGGTGCAGCGGCAGCTGCTGGGCTGCATCCCGGCGAGTTGCGGGATGTGCGCACCTCTGCGGGGAGCTCGCAGGGATGGGGGTGCGCGAATGTGTGCGCGGGTGCGCGCCTGGGGGCACCCTGCCCTGATGCAATCAACAAAGTGTGTGGGGAAAAAAAAAAAAAAAAAAGGAAAAAAGAAAAAAAAAAAAGAGGGAAAAAGAAAAGGTGCTTTTGGGGGAAACTTCGAGGGAGATGTCATTTCTCGTGGTAGCATCGCCATGGCGCGCGTTTCCACGTCTCTGCTCCATTTGGGCTCGCATGTGTTTGTGAGTATTTCACTAGATCAGTGACAGCTCTTTATTTGCATAATTATATGCTCTGGTCTGAAGGGAAAACTAACCCCCAAATTTCATGGGTCACCAAACTGCGACAATCAATGTTTTATCACGTATGCTAAGCAAAACCTAAGGAGCTATATGAAGTTTCTTGGGGAGTTTCTACTCCTCAGAAAATTGAAGATTTGGTGCCTCTTGAATGGACGCAAAATCTCTCCGAGCTCTTTGTAACCAAATTCCGTTTGAAGGCAAAACTAGAGATTAGCACGTAGATCTGGATTTCCAAGCCACCAGCATTACTTCAAAGTAGATTCAGACAAGCAGCTTTGCTGCATCTCTAAATTTCACCGCCTAAGAAGTACTGCAATTTGAACGGTCGGAAAAAAATAAATAAATAAATAAAGTGGCCAAATGTGACATTACAGAAAGAAAAACCACCTCCTCTTCCATCAAACCACCATCAGTGACCTGTGCACTTAACTTCGTACGCTTAGTGTAGTTTTTTATTCTGTTCTCCCTGGTGAGTGGGGATTTGTGTGTGTGTCCCGTCCCACCCCCATAGGGACGAGTAGATACTGGACGTAAATACGAAGGAAAATCATCTCCCGATGATGAACTGCGGGGCTGGTTCCGGCGCATCCGTTGCACAATGTCCGCATGCCCCAGTTACGGTGCACGCCAAGTTGGGAACGCGAGCAAAACACGTCGTTATGAGGAGGAGGAGAAGGAAGGGAATTAGTGGCATCAGCTGACCAGCAGTAAAGCTGCTGATGAGGGAGGATGGGGAGAGCCCCCCCGACACCCCAGCTAGTCTGGTCGCTGGGTTTTTTTAGCTGCCGTTTGGAGCTCTTGGCCAAATGGTGCTCGCTGGCGCTTCCGCCGCTCCCCGGCGCTGCCCTACGGATCTCCGCGTTCGCGGAGGCGGATACGGGACCACGCTTAACAGAGCGGTTTGCAGGCTTGCGCTTAGGTCCCACTTAGCCAGCAGACTATTTTATTATTACTATTATCTTCATATATATATATTTATATTTAAAGGGCTTGTTTCAAGCAGCAAGTATCTTAATGCTTTTCCAAGCACAGAGAAGGGGCTGGAAGGCG